GGACGCTAACTAAAGTAATGGATCGAACGTTACATTGAACTGCAGAGCAGTGCTAATTTACATGATCGTTAAAACATGGCTAATTACGTAATGATAATTACAGTAATAATTACTGTGAACTAACAGATTCGTTCCATGTCGCTAAAAAACTGATGTTTTCGAGTTTCGATATTTGTGGAAGGCTTCTATTCACGATTATAATCTTTATATTAGATATCAGATTATTTGTTGCAGATTAAAGACGTGCATAATTGTTTTTTTAATGGTGATAGTGTGTGTTTCTGTATAAACATTTAAAAATATGTTAATGAAGTAATTGGCAGTCGATATCAGGTGAGAGAAATTCCTATTTCACAAATTTTGTCACACTTCACTAGTGAAGAAGAAAATCGTTCTGATTGGTTACTCTGAATGTATGAATAATTACTTTGTGATAATTTTTTAAGCCACTCGATGTCGTAAACCGATTAGCACTGATAAATATTAAGACTTTAAGGCGAATTTTGTTGGAAGGTATTATATATTTGATAATGCATCATTTGAATACGAACTGATTTCAGATGTTCGAAGTTTGATGCATAACAGTTGAAAATTCATATCCTCTTTCTTTCAGATGTTATGAGTTTCTAAGTTTCAGCATCATGTTACGCTCGTTTTTCTTGGTCTTATCCATTTCAGTTTGCCGAAAAGTTATATTTTTATAATCCACTATATCACTGATTAACGGTTGTTCTGATTTACTCTCTGCTGGATCCATGATTCGTCTTTTGTCGCCTTTTGTTCATAAATTAGATGGTGTAATTAAAATTTTTTTCGGTTATCGTAGAGAGTGCCCTCTCCTATAATCTTTTCACTTTGCTAGACGAATATACTACATTACTAAAAGAGGTCTACATAACCCTAGTTACTTGTATCGTTCTCGAATGATTTAAGGTTTATGACAAGTCTTGTCTTCACACCTGAGGGAGATGTCATAACTGTATTTCGCTCAGACGTGTGATTGTTTACTTTGGTCCTTGCCTACTGTTTGTAATGGATGCATCAAGGTTGAATTTGTAAGTAGCGCCTAGCAGTTATTAAACTCAAACAAACTGACATATAGGAAAACCTGAAAATGGTTTTTTCGTTAATTATTAGATTACTCTTAATTCGCAATTAGCGTTTTTTTGACTTCCCACATTTTTCTCATTATTTCGTTGTTGTTAAACTAGGTGCCAATGCTCAGTTCATTACTTTATCCGTCGGTAAGTGCTTGATCATTTCCTACTTTATGCACGCTGTATCGTTTTGTACAAGATGATCGTCGGTGAATTCTTGCTATCGTAACGTTATCAGCTGATGTCTGCTCGTCGTATTTACATATTCTTTTGTTATTCTAAATCGCTGACGTAAAATAAGCCGTTTGTTTTGATTTAAATGTACTTTGAGATTCTCGATTCTGGGCCCATTGTAGAAACTGTCATTAATGTGTTGATTCATGTTTGAGAGCACTTAAATAACGCCGATGTTATCACATTATTTCAAACGCGTTTCGTGGCTTCAGGACACATCTGATGTGGCAGTCAGAAAGCCGTCTTATACAAATATATCGATGTAGGGTAAATATTTCATCATTCCGTTCTAAACCATTATTAACATAGCTTAAAACTTTTTTTATCTCAGTCACTCATCATATCTGTCTGAGCTTTCTTTCAAGTTAGTGATAGCACCCTACCTTTCACTTATTCCTTTCATTCCGACTGCAGTGTTTCAACGCCAAAATAGGGACTTTTGTATTAAAAGACCTAGCGTTGACTTGTCTTTGTCATTACAGACACTCTTCTGAATGAAGGAATGTCCCTCAGAAAGTCCGTGTTGCAATGCCTTCTGGCTCAAACCTACTAACCGCTGCAGCCAAAGAACCCGCCTTCTCCCTCCACTCTACCAACCGTTTGCCTACCTAGTGAGACGAGCCGAGATGTCGGTTTTGGTTAATCATCAGTTTGGCCATATAATTGTTTTGCATATATATTAATAAAGCGTTTTTTCTGTTTTTTATTAATATATTGAAAAAGAAGTTATCGAATCACCGTGTTACTTTAAGGAGCATTTTACGATTATATGTGGATGAATGCAACAAAACATATTTTATGGGTAATCGATTGATTGACCAGTCTCGGTTTGTGTCGATATGATGAGTTTATGATGGTTTTCTTTGCTAATGCCATAGAAACCGAGATCAGCATCGCATCTTGAGCTCCGTGAAGAGAAGGCGACGAATAATGTTCATCAGATAACTGTATGGAAGACCAACGTCTCAGCCGTTACAAACTCTCCTTTCCTTTTTTTCTTGATATCTTGAGGGTTTGAATTGTAACAATTGTAGTGTTCT